AGCTTCCTGATTTTAAAAAAAGAAGTCCTTTGAACCTTTCATTTATAAAATATGCACCGCGTGGTGGTTTGCCCTTCTTGTCCTAAGACACCTTAGTCAGGAGATTATGTTCCAGAAATACATCCCCAGTCTAATCTTGTGAGAAGAGTGAGCAGGAAGAGACTGGTTGTCAGCAGGTGTTGGAGCTATGTACATAGCCCGCAGACGTTTTATCTACATTCAGAGTAAGAAATGGAGATTGTAAATATCTACATTGAATTTTGGAGACAAACATTTTATCAGAGAGAAAGACTCTGGGCATGGAACAGAATTATCTCCTCAAGCATAAGGATCACACAAGAAGGTACAACATCATCATCCCTGTATTCAGTTCCTGTTTGAACGGCTAGCCAACTGTCCTTTCACCCAAGATTTCAGAGTCTACAGGAGATTTCAGTCAACAAATGCTATCCCCCAGTTTTTTGATGTAAGTAATCAATAACTTTGTCACAAAATCATATTTCAGCCTCCTTTTATTCTCTCTTGCTTTCTCTCAGCTTTGGAGCAGGTATACTCATTCTCTGATCCCCAACCCTTGTTGTTTTTTACTCTTCTTAATTCCCTTCTTCTTTCTTTCCTTCTTTCTCCCTAGTTCTCTCTCACCTTCTGTCCTCCCTGTGCCTCCACGCCTCCTTATTCTAGAGCCCCCTTGTATGATTTTCCAGTCTCTGCTCCTTCCTGTACACAACCATCCTCTTCCACCTAACCCCTCAACCCCTTGCCACAGACACATTTCTGTGTTTGGTCTGCCTCTCCCCCTGACTTTTCCCTTCTCCCATCCGAATTTCACTGATCTCTGTCAAATGCTTCACTTTTCCTTTCAAAGAAGAACCTCCATTCTGGGCTCCTCCCATCCATCTCTGCCCCTTGGGCTGGAGAGCTGGAGGTCTGTATTCACCTCCACACCTTGTGCTTGCTTGCTCAGAACATCTATTGTCTTCTCAAACTCAACGTGGAACAAGTTTCACTTTTCCCCTACTCCCAAACAGACTGTCTCCACACTTCCTTTTATAGTTAATGGTGTCACCATTTCCCTATTCTTCTAAGTTTAAAATATGAGGTTAGTTTGATTGGCACCTCAGCTAGTCAGTCACCTTGTCTATTGATTTTTCCTTAAATATCTCCCTAATATCTATTCCTCCCACTCTGCATTCCTTGAAGCTGCCTTAGCTCCTGCTCTCATTACCTCCACATTTGATTACCTCTCTCTGCACTAGATGTGGTAGGGTTGAAGGGGTAGGGAATGAAGGGACTATTTGTGGGTTTTCCCCAGAGTGTCATATCACTTGGCCACTAGCAAGAAGAGGAGGTCTTAGGCCAAGAGCTAGAGAGTTAACCATGATTTAATCTTCAGACAGTCTTCCAATGGAGTTCCTATAATACCAACACTGTCCTCAGCTCTGAAATCTAATAGTGAACACAACTGGGTCCCTGTCTCCGTGGTATTAGGCACAAGAGGAAAGAGACCATCCATAACAAAGAATATATGATAGGATTGGCAATGATGAATCACAGAACTTGTGTATAAAGAAAAATAAATTCAGATAAATGGAATAGAAAGTGAATGGGAAGAATGGACAACCCACACATGGAAAAAATGCTCTGTGTCATCAGGGAAATGCAAATCCAAACCACAATGACATACCACTTCACACCCACCAGGATAGTTATAATAGAAAATAACAAATGTTGGCGAGGCTGTGGAAAACTGGAAACTATCACATGTTGCTGATGGGAATGCAAAATGGTGCAGCTGCTGTGGAAACAGTCTGGCAGCTTCTCAAAAAGTTAAACATAGACTTACCATATGAACCAGCAATTCCACTCCTACGTAGACACCCCAGAGAATTGAAAACATGTGTTCAAACTGAAATTTGTACACGAAAGTTCATAAAAGAAGTATTCATAATCATTGGAAGGTGAGAAAAGTTCAATGTTCATGACAGGATAAAAGAATAAACAAGACAAGATTCATAAAGACCATGGAATATCAGTCAGCCATAAAAAGGGTGAGTAATGGTTCCAGATGCTCCCTGATGAAGCTTTAAGAGTATTCTCAGTGGAAGAAGCCTGATATAAGAGGCCTCACAGTAAGATTTAATTTAAGAAAATGCACAGACAAATCCATCAGGAAAAAAAATGGCAGATTAGTATTTCTCAGAGGCTGGAAAATACAGTAAAACTAGTTCATTGGTACAGCATTTTTCAAGGTTTATCCTTTGGGACTAATGAAAATATTCTAGAATTAGATGGTGGAGTTGCAGACATACCAATTACCCCTGAGACCAGGTGAAAGTGCTCTAATTAGAGTGCATGCCTAACACACACTCAACCCAGGTTTGATTTCTGGCACCATGTGGATTTCTGAGTATTGTGGACCATAGCCCTGGAACCCATAAGCACCACTGGGATGAACCCAGCTAATCACCAGTACTACAGGGCCAGAGCAGCACTGCATCTTTGGGCCTGTGCTTTGAAATTTTAACTTGATTGACCAAGTATCTCTAGGACAGTTCCGAGGTACTCTTGAGTACTGCTTTGGAGTCACCAAAAAAAAAAAATCAAGATATGAAGGAGTGGCTGGAGCAATAACACAGTGGGTAGGGCATTTGCCTTGCATGCAGCAGACCCGGGTTCAATTCCCAGCATCCCATATGGTCCCCTAAGCACCACCAGTAGTATTTCCTTAGTGCATAAGCCAGGAGTAACCCCTGTGCATCGCCGGGTGTGACCCAAAAAGAAAAAAAATGGAGGAATACTAACTGTATCTTTAAAAGTAATTAAAAGCGGGGCCAGAGTGACAGTAAAGGGATAGGGCATTTGCTTTGCACGCGGCCAACCTGGGTTGGATTGCCAGCATCCCATATGGTCCTCTGAACTCTGCCAGGAGGAATTTCTGAGTGCAGAGCCAGGAATAACCCCTGAGCATCACCAGGTGTGAACCCAAAAAGCCAAAAATTTTAAAAAATAATAAAATAATTAAAAGGTAAATTTTGTGTTAACGGTGTATGATCACAATAAAACATGTGAATGGGGGTGGTCATGGATTCCCCTTGGCTAGGATGGATGGGGAAGCCTCTCTGATAAGGATGTCTTTGGATAGAGACCTGAGCCAGGAGGATTGTAGCCTTGCCATGATTGAGGACAGCCAAAGCAGAAGTCGGTGGTCTGAGTCCACTTTTCTCATAATATTCCTGCCCAGAGGTCACAGAAGTTTCCTCTCCATTCACCTCCATTTCCTCTCCCTCTCTACCAGCATGTAGGGATACAGATCTTGGCGGTTGTCTAGACAGACAGCCCCTTCTGCCTACACCTTTACCGGCAGAACTGCTCCTTAGGGCCACGTGGATGCTGAACACATTTTAGGTCTCATTCCAGGGAACACATTTCCCTCACACCCTCTCTGGCTCAGACCAAGGATAGGAGCAGAAGCTCCACTCATCAGCTGCTCTCTAATTTATATTTCCCCATCCATCATTGGGTGCGATTGAGAAAATGCAGTGAGAAGACTGAAAGGTGCCCAGCTTTGCTCTGATATACAGTGGTTTTGTGAGAATGAATCCAAAGCTTGGGAGTGAGCACCTCATTTTGTACTATCTAATATTATTTGGTAAGTAGTTCATGAATGTAAGTAGAAATCAAAATTGATGATAAATTCCGATGATGACAGAGACTTTCCGAAACCCAGTGACTAGTTGAATACAGAGTACAAAGAATGTTTCAATCATTATTGAGTAAATGGTCAAAAGGAAAGGAAGAGACAAAAAAAAGACAGAAAAGAAAGAAACAAAGAGGAAGGAACGAAGGAAGGAAGGGAGAGAGGGAGGGAGGTAGGGAGGAAGGAAAAGGGACAGAGAGATAGTACAGGGGTAGGATGCTTGCCTTGCACACAGTCAACCTGAATTCAACCCCCAGCATCCCATATGGTCCCCTGAGGACCACCAGGAGTGATTCCTGGGTTCAGAGCCAGGAGTAACCTCTGAATACTGCTGGGTGTGGCACAAAAACAAAAAAAAGGAAGAAGAAAAGCTGGTATGTATGATGGCAAGTGTTTAAAAAATAAATGACCCCTCGAAATGAACTGTTATTTTGAGAGACTATAGTTATTAGCACTGTCTGTTATTGGCATTCAAAGAAAATTTCAACAAATTTTAAAATAAAGGCAAAAAGTCTTTGAAGTTCAATTAATGAAGAGAAGCACAAGTTAAAAGTATGAGACTGTGTTGTAAAGCAATATTTTTGAAAATGTAGGAGAGATGTGTGATAGATGACAAGGAGATAATAACCAGGTATGTAGATAAAGAGAGAGAGATAGGCAGGTGGGTAGAGACCAATGACAGGTAGAGAGAGAGGTGACAGGTGGGTATATGATAAATAGATAGATATAGATAATAGGGAGATAGATAGTAAATAGGTAAATGGGTAAATAGGGATAGATGAATATAGGAGAGAAAGAGAGAGGTAAGTATTTAGATGTATAGGAAGATAAATAGACACATAGATTCATAGAGACATAGACAGATAGTGGCACCCAAGTACTTGAATAGAAAATAACAGTGGAAAGAGATTCAGTTCCTCTCTTTAATTCAATAAGTAGACATGACACAAGATAAAACCAGGACCAATTCCTGTGTGTGTGTGGACATATGAGGAGCTTACTTCAAGCCACTGTTCTGGTGAGATGAGACCAAGCCAACTATGTTACACGACCTGGACAGCCAGTTGTGTCATGTGGGTACCCCGGAGCCTGTCCATTCGGCCAACACCAGCCGTCTCTCCACACACAGAACCAGCCTGCAGCTCTCTCGGGTTCTTGCTTCACACTCAGTCCCTCTCAGAGAAACAGACAGAAGCTCATTGGAGGTAAAGAGGCAGAAAGCATCTGGCTATTCCTCAGGCTGACACAATTGTTTTAATCATCTTTTCCACCAAACAATGAAAGAGGAAAGAAAATGTTTTACCTGAGGAGATTCCTGATTTCGTCAGAATAATCTAAAACGGAATATGGAAAAGCAACACAGACACATCTTCTGTGGGCTCCCGAAATCCCAAATCTTCTCCGAGAGCAGCGTTAAGTTGGAGCTCTGCAGAGGCTGTGTTATTTTAACCACAGCTTTCCAGTCACCAGGGAGGAGAGATGGAAATGAGGTAGGCTGGCAAGCAGAAGCACCCTCCACCTCAATGAAGCAAGCTCTCAGAGCCAGTGAGGAGTTTGGGTACATATGCAGAGCCCTCAAACCAACTTTTCCTAAACCAGAGATCAATCTCTACGGAAAATTCCAAAGGAGTAAGATAAGACACTTGCTGTGTTTTCTAAAAACAGACATGCTAGTATGCCTTGACTGCTCCTGGTTGAGGCAAACACAGCCCAGATATGACCTCTGGGGTCCCAGTTTAGGCAGGAGCAGTTACATTTGTGGGGGACTTTGTTCTGCTATTATAGGAGTTTACCCAGGGCTAAAAACAGAGAATATTATGGAGAAGGATTAGAGCCAGTAGTCAAATCTTTTGTGTAAAAACAAAACCCAGTAGTGAAAATCTATAGGAAATGCCAGAGAAAGGGAGTAGATCATCCGGAATTTGTCCTGTGTGAGTGTGAGATTATGTGTGGGAGTGTATGGGTGTGGTAGCACGTGAAGGGGTGTGACCATGAGTGTGTGAAGGGGTGTGACAGTGAGTGGTGAGTGTGTGTTGGTGTGAACGATTGAGGATTTGAGTATGTGAGTGTGAATGAGTGGTGAATCCATGTGAACGAGTGATTGGGGAATGTGTCAGTATGAATGAGTGTGCGGTTATGAGAAGTGAGGACAAATGCATGTGAATGTGTGAGGGTCTGAGGGTCTCAGTGTGATTGTCAGGGGAGTTAATGCCTCAGTGTGCACATGCGTGAAAGTGTGTCAGTGCAAACAGGGTGGAGATGCAATTGTGGTTCTGTGTGAATGAGTGAGTGTGGTGTGTGACTATGAGGTTGTGTGTATGTGAGTGTGTGTGTGTGTGTGTGTGTGTGTGTTGTGTTTCTCACTTCCCAAACAACATCTCTGCTTGAGTACTCTGCTTCTGAATACTTGTAGTTCTTGCCAAGTGGTCCTTGCTGAGGCTACATCTCTTAAGAAGCAGAGAAGTAACTTCAGCAAGGACCACTTGGCAAGTATTACAAACACCCCGTTAGACCGACCGGGAGGAGGAGAATGATTTATCACAGTGCATTCACAGCAAAAGCTAGAGCCGTTGAAGTGGCCTACGGTCCTTTTACAGCCAGCCCTTCCCAGATGCAAAGGGCTTTCACTCCACTTTTGGAAAGCTCAGCAGTGCTCCTATTAAGCGGGCTCATAACTCAGTTTTATAGAGAGTCTTTCATCTCCAAGGAGCTTGAGGTACATTTACACCAAATTATAAATTATCCTGTGCACAGTCACTGCAGGGAAAAACAGAACTCCTGCCCCGCAGCTGCTGGCCCCGCAGCCAAGCTGGACAGCAGGTCCGGCCACAAGGTTATCTGCTGAAGCACAGTTGGACCTGCCCTCTGACATGGCCCTCTCCTCCTTGCAGTCACCAGGACTGCACAGACCTGCACCCCACTTTTCTTCCTGATTCTCCTAAGTCTGCCCCCAGACACTACCCCTACACCCTGTCCTCCCTACACACACAAAAAGTCACAAAATGGGGTCAAAAAAAGTGGCCACATTTTCACACTCAATGCTCAATGAAGGCCAGCTATGACCCTTGGGCCAAATCCAAACCTGCCTGCTTTGTGAATAAAGTTTTATTGAAACTCAGTCACATTCATTCAGGCATTATCTAAGGCTGCTTTTGTAAGAACAATGGAGTAGAGTATATAAGGCAGGGATTGTAGACAGAGATTTTTGTGACTGCTCTTCTGCATTATTTGATTTTTTTAAAAGATGTCCTAGAGGGGCTGGAGCAATAGTATAGTAGGTAGGCTGTTTGCCTTGCACGTGGATGACCCGAGTTTGAATCCCAGCATCCCATATGGTCCCCTGAGCACTGCCGGGAGTAATTCCTGAGTGCAGAGTCAGGAGTAACCCCTGAGCATTGCCAGGTGTGACCCAAAAAGCAAAATAAATAGATAAATAAATATAAAAGATGTCCCAGAAATAGCATCATTTAAAATCATCTGATTATAATAAGGTTGCCAATCCCATCAAATTAAGGCTTCACTCCTATGCACCTATTTACCTTCAGTTACTTTCTAAATGCCTTTCTCCTGTCACATTGGCGTTAGGACTGCAGCATGGGATTCAGTTCATCATGGCAGTGACCTTTTCCCAATAGGGTGTGGGTGTGTGTGTGCCGGTTGATAGTCAGATGCCTTCAACACAGTAAAGCCAGAAGGGCAGAGGACCAGAGCACTGGGTGGAATCATTTCATAGACTTGCATTCCTGGGCAAGGAGACATCAGCCCCCTGGGGCAGCCCCAGGGAGGAGCAGTGGTCTTAGTACCTGTGAGTCCAGGAGTCTGTCCTGACTCTACATTAGCAGCTGGCCCCTCTAACTGGTATTGCACCCCAAGCAGTGCAGTGTTCACCACTGACATTGTTCTCCTAGTGAATCTGTGACTTTCCTAGAACCTTCAGTAATTCCTTCAATGACTCACTTTAGCAAGAATGACCACCATTTGCCACCAGGAATATAGAGATGTAGGGCTAGTCTGGGTTCTTAAGATCAAGCTATTTGGTCCCCTTTGCCTTCTTGGCCAACTCTTCCCAACTTTCTCACCTAGGTATTATTTTTGGCTCTGTGTGTGTACGTTTGGTTTGGTTTTTGTTTTGGTTTGGGGGCCACATCTGGCAGTGCTCAGGGTTTACTCCTGGCTCTGGCCTCAGGGATACTCCTGGCACAGGCTTAGGGAACCATATAGAGTCCAGGATTGAACTTGGGTTAGCTACATGCAAGGCAAATTACCTGCTGTATTATCACTCTGGTCCACCCACGCACTATTTTGAATGATTATTTGCTGTGATTTTATTTTGATTCTTGGCTTGCTTGTTGTTTTCCTCACCCTTCCTCTACATCACTTTATGGTTTGTGGTTGGGAGAAAAAAAATGGTGGACTGGGGGTTGGAGGGGACGGGGAGAGGAGAGGTTTGGATGAGATTTGTCTCCACTCTTTTTATGTCTCAGGTTACTGTACTATCCACTCCAGCAGGTTCTACCAGAGAGAGGCAGTGAAGGAAACAGGAGGACAGAAGGAAGAGCCAGGGCATAGCCTTCCTTCCACTTCTCTCTGCCTGGGGGAGTACCTCCATCAAGATTCAGTCTTCCTTCCACTCTGCCAGTCTCTAGACCAAGCTTCACTCTGGTGAGTCTGGCTCTGTCCTTTAGCCTGTGGTGGCAGTGTCTTCCTGCTATTACAACATTTCCCAAGTCTCTTGGCCATCTCCATTTGCCTGCCAGACGTGGTCATCAGCAGTATCACTAAAAAGTCAATGAAACAGCCCCTGTTTCTAAAACTTTAAGCATTTCTCATTGTCCTACTCTCCAAAGGATGCCACTCCACACCTGTCTTTGACTTCATGTCCAAGAACACACCACACTCCCATTGACTGGAGATGGGACATGCCCTGGTAGAGAGAATCATTCATCTTGCTTTGAACATGATGACTCCTACAGAGCTACCAGGAGACGGGTGTTATTGGGCCATTGATGTAACTCTTCTGGCCTTTTCAAAAACAACAGTGTTCAAAGAGACTCGTAGATGGAAAAAATCATGATTAGAAACAGCAGCTGGAGTCTTGTTTCACTGACCAAGGGATCCCATGAGGATAAAGTGAGATAAAACAGGGATGGGTCAGTGAAGTGGGTAAATGCTCAGCCAGTGGGGAATTAAGTTTTTGGAAAAAAATTTGCCTGTGTTTTTGAAAAATTTTTATAAACACTTTCTTCTCTAATATGAAAGGATGAGGAGAAGTTAGATATGCAAGTAATAAATAATGACTTTTTTATTAAAGTAAACTTAAATGTCCAGTGGTAATGAATTTAGTATTTTTATTATGACATGGTCTATCCCAAGGACTAGATTGATAACAGTCAAAGAAACAATTATGAAGGTGAAGTAATATCTTGCAAACTAACTGCTTAATAGCCATGTTCCATAGAAAGAACAAAACAAGATATTGGATCTGGCCTGTGGTCAGAGTCTATTTAGAGTCACAAATCCATATAACAAACTAGACTGGATATGGGAGCATGAGCTGATATGTTAAAGTGATTCCAGGTGTAGCTGGACTTTAAAAAGTAAAATTACCTTTTAAAAATAAGTGCTTTTGCAACAATATTCTTCCCTTCTCTTTCCTTCCCTTCACTTCCTTTCCATTCTCTTTCCTTTTTTTTATGTCTAAGGTCATGTATGACTGAACAGTGGGGGCCAGTGCAATAGTACAGCAGGCAGGACATTTGCCTTATACATGTCCAATCTGGGTTCGATCCCTGGCATCCTATATGGTCTCCCCAAGCAGAGTCAGGCATAAGCCCTGAGAATGTCCTGGTGTGCTCCCCCCCCACACACAAAAAAAGCAAACAAAACACAACTAGTGACATGAGCAAAGGCAGGGCTAAGAAACAGCTGAACTAACAGAATTTGGGGCATATTGTATGGACAATAATATAGCAAAGAATATTAAGAAAAATAGAATCAGAAATACAGAGAAACCAACTGATAAGAATTTTAGTGACTCAGTCAAATAAAAAATACATAGGATTTTGAACTTCAGACGAATAAAAAATACAGAGGATTTTATTTTGGAATCAGCTCATTTATATTCTAGCCTCTCAAAAAACAGATTTGAAGTCAATGTACAAGATAGAAGATAATAAGTGAGATATAAAGAGAGTGAAGAATGGGACAGAAAAAAAATACAAATAAACTGGACTGGGGTTGAATATATATATCGGAGCTTTCATTTTCACACTTTGTGTACAATGTTACATCCGGTCCTAGGGAATGTATGTTGCAGACGGTAGAGTCACTATTTCCAGATGGACAAATGCGAATGAAGACATGACAAGATCTGCTCAAATGGACTCAGATGGCAATGGCAGAGCCAGTCTGGAAATATCTTCTTTGGCTTCAAGTCTGGATACGTTGGTATCCAGAC